GCGAGGAGAATCCCTCCTCTCTGGAAAGGTGTTTACACAGGTACTGTGCAGAAGGCGAGTTCCTAGGAAAGGAGAGGAGGGAGGGCCGGGAAGGCTTTCTCCACCAGTCCTCCCTTCGGCAGACCCACGTGGCAGGGCTTCCCATCTGATGGCACCGGAGCCACCACTGCTGTCCTGGGGCCTGGCTTGGTTCTCAGCTGATTCTGCCCCGCAGCTCCAGGAGGCCTAAAAGGTCCGCGAGTCCGCGCAGACGCTGTTCCCTTGTGCCACACTCGGCCATCACGCTGCCGCCAGCGAAGCCCACTGGGTCTCTCAGCGTCGGGCACTAAATCCGAGCCATGCCTGGGACGCCCTGGAGGCCTCCACACTGTGCCCTGTGCACCATGGCTCAGCAGTGTCTGTCCCGCTGCAGCCAGCAGAAATGCTCACTTCGCCCTTCTCCAGTGTGTTAGGGGCCAACCCCGGACGGCCGATAAGGGCCTGGCCCAGGACCTGGTGCAGTGTCACACAGGTCAGGGCATCAGCAGGAGGCAAATGCCAGCCACTTGCCAGCAGGGAGACCCAGGAGAAGCTACGAGTGACAACCACGCCAGTGCTGCCCTGGCCCAGTCTCCGAGCCATGCCTGCCATCACCAGGCCCGAGCAGAAGCCCAGGACCCTGGCACAGTCTGCAGAGTCCTGTCCTCCAGAAAGGGGGCCCATGAAGAAGGGCTTGGGAGGAAACAGCGACGCAGCAGGAGACAGGCTCGCGTGGCTTCTCAGACTTTCCGCGGAAGAAATATGGATGCGCATAGAAAGCCCCCGACCTACTGTTCCTTACTTCAGTTCCCAGCTCCTCAGAGACACTGCATCTTCTCTGCCTAGTCACAGTAATTCATTTAGGAAGAAAAGATTTAACACAGTTTATTCACAGATTTATATCGTCAAAGACATGCGCTTTAATGTGGTGAATTACAGTTCCAACTTAAAATGTTCAGAAAATTTTGTAAAACTTTGGCCTGCAAACATCAGCTCTCTCCCAGGCTACACAGTTAAAAATCTAAACATGTACGTTTTTCTCAAATACTCACAATAAAATAGGCTGTTATTTTAGATGTCAATACTTTCATTTCCAAGGGATCAGCAAAAAGTATCTTTCACATTTTACATTTTATGTAAGTTGCTAAAACACTTTTTTTGTGAGACAAGAGTCTCACCATGTAATCCACAATTGGACTGAACTTGCTGCAGAGCCCAGGCTGGCCTCAAATTCAAGATCCTCCTGCCTCAGCCTCCTGAGCACTGGGGTTATAGGTGTGTACCAGTGCACACAGCTCAAGTAAATTACTAAAACATTTTTAAGTAAAATACCTGAAGCTTCACTGATAACAACTACAATTTGACTGCCTTAACCTATAAATTTTCAAAACAGGTCTTTCAGTAGACAAATAATTTTGTAGTATTATGTTGTATTTATTGATTTTTTTCTCAATTATTTTGAACTATAGATAGTGCTAAAATTCTGCTGGTAGGGACTTCTACTTAGAGGTAGGACGATGGTTATGGCTATGACAACTCTTACAGAAAAGCTATATTGACTGCAAAAACGTTTATCTGGGGCTGGAAGGCAGTTCCTCGGCAGAGCACTTGCCTGGCCTGCACAAGGCCCTGGGCTCAATCCCAAGCACCAGATAAAATCATAGCAACACCACGGAGGGGCACAGAGCTAACAGACGAAATGAACCACAACTCTGAGGGAAGCACTCTCCTTGGTGAGCTCTGGTAGCTGCCTCTGCTCTCCAGAGGCACTGCTGATGCTAAGAGCAGGTGAGGGACTGCAGCTGGCCTCGAATATCATTTAAAGAATTGAAACAAGTTAAAAGACTGAGAAACGAGAGCTCCAAAGCGTACAGCATCCTGTAAGACATCTATCCTCGCCTCTTCAAAAAGTCAATTCTAGGGCCAGGGATTTAGCTCAGTGGTTCCGCTGCCTGCCTCGCAAGTGCAAGGACACAAGTTTGGTCCCCAGTACCAAAAAAAAAAAGTCAATTCTAAGAAGAAAAAGGACTGGATTGTTTCAGACTACAGAGATGGAGAGCCAGGAGCAGTGGGGCACAACTGTAATCCCAGCCACTCAGGAGGCTGAGGCGGGGGGGTCACAAGCTCTTGACCACCTGGGCAATCTAGCAAGATCCTATCTCACAAAGGGTGAAGGATGTGGCCCAGTGCCAGGCACTGGATTCAAACCCCAGCAAGAAAGGAAGGGAAAAAAGAAAGAGAAGGAGAGAGGAAAGGAGGAGAAGGGAAGGAAAGGAAAAAGGAAGGGAGAGAGAAAAAAGAAGAAGAAAAAAGAAGACAGGAGGGACATTTACTGTTTCAAATGCAATGTGTAGAATTTTACTGGAGCCAGTGTTTTAAATGTTCTACCTGAAAACGTGTTGTATCCCATAAAAATATACAATTTTATTTGCTAATTATATCTAAATAAAATGGGAAAAGCTTAAAACTTAATAAATAAAACTGGGGAAATAAATAGTAATGCTGCTGGGGATGTAGCTCAGTGGTTCTGCCACCTGCCTCGCAAGCGCAAGAACCAGAGTTCGATCCCCGGTACCGAAAAAAGAAAAGAAATATGTCCAAACTGCTGCTTCTCTATCAAGTTTGACTTTAACATTTTATTGACACATCTGGAGCTGTAGACACTAAAACAACGACGCGAGAACAGCGACGCGCCGACAGCCCCGGGAGCGCCTGCAGTGCCGCGCCTCGCCGCCAGGTGGCGCCGAAGCCCGCCCGCAGCTTCAGTGACCGGGTCCACGCGGCGATGTTACCGTCGCTGTGCCGGTCCGCGGCTGCTCCCAGGCGGTGGCACCGCCTCTCCACCCTCGGCCCGCGTGCACGAGGCTGCAGCGCCCTTGTCCCGGCCCCTGGGTCCTGCGCAGCCGCTCCCGCTGTCCCCGAGGCTGCTGCCCCGCGCCTCGCCTCTGGCGGCCCCGCGCCCAGACGCCGCCTCCCTCCCTCCCGCTCAGGCCACCTCCGAGGCAGCCTGGAAAGCTGCCTTCGCCGGGCGGGCAGCGCACGCCTGATCTTAGCACTCAGGAGGCTGCGGCAGGAAGATCACGAGGGCGGGCCCAACCTGGGGTTACTCGGTGATTTTGTGAGACCCCGTCTCAAAATTAAAAATACAAAACGAAGAGAGTGGGGAACGCCGAGGATGTAGCCCAGCGTGAAGTGCTGGCTTCAGTCCCCGGCACCACAAAACAAAAAACAAAAAACAAAAACGCCAGCCCTACTTTCTTGCCATCCGCCACTCGCTCGATCCTACGCCCCCTTCTCCCCAACCCGGTTTCCATTCTGCGCCCACGCAGCTCTAAGGCACAAGTGACTCCCAGGCTCAGGGCTCGTTTCTGCGCTCGCCCCGCGCCCCGCGCCGATGAGGTCCCCAGGAGCCGGGCTCCCCCCTCTGCCGTCCTCGCCTGGCCGGGCCGACTCCCCAGCTTCTCCGCCGCCTCGGTACTTGCTGCAAACTCAGCCTGCGCCGGCGGCCTTGCCTCAGCCGTCCTACCACCCCACAGCGCTCGGCCGCTGCACACCGCTTCTTTAAACTTCCTCAGGAGCGGTGGGGTCCACGCGGGCTCTAGCCCTCCGTGGTGCTGGTTCCGCACCTCCCCTGGTCCCACAGATCAGTCAGGGCCGCAGGGAGTCCCTCAGCACTTCACTCACACTGCCCTAGCGCCCGGCGGCTCCACTCCTGCAGGAAAAAGTCTACGCTGTATTTTCTGCCAGAACTCAGCATTTCTGGCACGTGCTGTTTTCAGTCAAATTCTGTTGACTATCAAAGATTACTAAGAAAGGAAGAACCTGGCATGCGGACACGCCTGCAACCCCAGAACTCAGGAAGGTTGAAGCAGGAGAACTGCCAAGTTTGAGCCCAGCCTGGGGAACTTTTGAGACCCTGCCTCAAAATACAAAGGGGAGAGGATCCTGGAGGCGTAGCTCAGTGCAAAGGCCCTATGTTTAATCCCATGCTGAGAGAAAAAGAAATAAGGAAGCAACAAGTCCAGATACTAGAAGTGCCCTGGACCACACAGGGACTTGTTCTATAACCAAGACTCAACCCAATCCGGAAAGGCAAGCTTGGGAGGAAGCTGATGTCCACGTGTTTCCAGGCATCAGAAGCCAGACTTCTCTCCAGCTGGAGACAGCGGAGCCCTGGGCCTCCACGCGCCAGCACCGCCCCGGACTTGGCCCTCGGGAGGGCAGGACCAGGTGCTTTGGGGCCGGCTGCCTCCTTCCTCCCAGGCCCAGTCCAGGCAGCCTCTTCCTAGGAGTCCTGGGGCCACGGCACTCCACGCCACGCCACACCACGCCAGGCCTTCAGCTGGAGACACCCCTTGCTCCAGCCACAGCCTGACTCCAGCTCCGGCCCACTGTCTCCCAGACCCCCTGATGAAACCCGAGACCTAGCAGAGGGCGCGGAACGGAGAGGCCCCGGCAAATCCGAAAGGAGCTGGGCACCTCTCCCCCGGGGGACCATGAGCCCGCGCTCCCGTCCTCGCTCCAGCACAGGCTGGCGGCCTCCCAGAACATTCTGGGCCCTCGCTGGGACCCCAACGCCACAGTCTCCTTCCTCCTTTGCCCCCTGGCGACCCGGACCTGAACGGGAGCTTCCGGGGAAGGGTGGCCTGCTGCTGCCACTTCCTCACTGGCCAGCGTGCACGGCTCACCTCACATCCGAGGGCAGTCAGCAAGGCAAGGTGCACGCTGCTTGGCTGCGCGAAGCCCACGAGGGCCACGCTTGCTTCATGGGAGAAATCCAAGCGCTTCAGGGGAGAAGTCCGGCGACAATGGCCCAGGATGCTGGCCGCCGTGGGATCAGGGCTCAGGAAGTAGCACACACGCAGCACCTAGCTCCTACCCTCTCGGGCCGGACGGTTCTGCTCAATTCAGGAATGTGCGCGCGGGCGAACTGTCTGTAGTGATTCTCTACTCACACACATTAATCAACACTTTCAGCAGCATTGTCTGCAACTAAAAATTTTTATCAACAGGAAGTCCTAGGCTTATACTTCATGAGCTCCCAGGATGCGGAGAACAGTACAGGGCTTCCCCAGTCCAAAGCCCGGGTGCCTGATGGCATCCGGACCACGCCGGGCGCATCCTCACTCGCTCGACGCTCGGCGCTCGGCACAGGTCCAGATGCTCGGCAGACTCAGCATTTGCCCACTTGAGGAACTCCTGTAAGAACCTCAGCCGGAGGCCTCAGCCAGAGCGGCTCACCTCCCTCCTGGTTCAACCCAGGCCCGTCCTGTTCCTAAGGTGCAGGGCGGGAGAGGGCAGGGGCTGAGGACCCACCCAGAACTTTCCTTGGAGAGCACACAACAGCAGAAGGCAGGGAGGGGAGGCCTCCCCAGCGCGCTGGCCCAGGCTGAGGCAGGAGCATCTCTCTTCCTGGGGCGGGGTTCCGATGGGAGGTGGAGGGGCCTCAGCACTGGTCCTCGCCCAGCACAGCGTAGGGGTTGCGGGCAGCCAGGCCGCAGCCCGGGCCGGAGGTCGGGGTGTCCTCATCCCCTTCCCCCTCCTCGTCCGCATCGCGGTCCTCCTCTCCCTCCTCCTCACAGGAGCTGCTCAGCTCCTCCTCTTCCTCCTCCTCCTCCTCCTCCTCCTCGCCTGCCGGCCCCACTCTGCCCTGCAGAACCACCAGCTCTGCGGTCTCGGGATGAGACTCCCAGGTGCCTGGGAACCAAAGAGAAGGGAAAAGCGCTGAGCTCGGGGCTGAAGCCAGGGGACACGGGGCGCGGCCGGGACGCAGCAGAGGGCAGCAGTCTTCTGTCACTCGCCTCCCGCCACCCCGCTTCGGATCAGAGCCGCCTCCAAGGAGCAGCGGCAGTGCCACTGGGCACTGTCCAGACCTGCGTGTGCATGCACGCACGCTCGCAGCAGGCCACAGACCTTTCTGCTCACTGTAGCCCGGGGGGTGGAAGCACAGGCTGAGGCGGCCGTCCACCGCCAGCCACAGCAGGCTGTTGGCCGCTCGGTACACATCGTTACGCGCCGTCCTGGCGGTCTTGTAGCCGCGCTTCTCGGCCCAGGCTGGAGGGAGAAAGGAGCCCAGGAGGATGCCTGGATGCCACCCCACCCACTCCCGTCCCAGGCCCTCCGGTCCCCCGAAGTGGACAGCGGCTGTGCGGATGGAGTGAGGAGCAGAGAGGTCGGCGCAAGCCAAGCCCACGCCGTACCTTCGCAGATGTCCCAGGCGCACCAGGGGTGTTCGGAGGACGGGTCCTCAGCCTCCGGGTGGCGCAGGTGCAGCAGCGTCTGCACAGGGATGCGCGAGGCCAGGTAGCCCACCGCAGTGTAGGGCTCCTGGATCTGCGAGAGGGGGTAGATCCCGGCCAGGACCTGCAGGGACTGCGCTCAGCACCGTACCGCACCGAACCGCACCATGCCGCCCCCCGCCGCCCCGCCCGCGTGCACGCCACCTGCAGCTGTCTGGGCAGCAGAGAGGGGAAGGTCAGGCCAGGGCAGTCACAGAGCTTCACCGTGGGGGTGAGGAAGTAGGTCTGAAAGTAGCGGGTGTGGCCCGGAGTCCTGGAGACGCTCACGACCTTCCGGCCCACGAGCCCATTGATGAGCGAGGACTTGCCCACGTTGGGGAAACCTGAAGGAGGCTGGGCGTGAGCGCAGGCCCAGCTCCGCTGCGGCAGGACCTGGGGTGCGGCTGGGCTGACAGGAACTGAGGTTCAGAAAGGAGGAGGAGCTGAGCACTGCAACCGAGTCCCAGCCTCTGAGCTGGGACTTCACCAGCTTCTGAGCCAAGCCGCGCTGTACAGGAGACTCTCCTACCTGCAGCGGGCGGCTGGAATGCTAAGCTCCCAGGCACAAGGGCAAGGCTGCCGCAGGTGCTGGCAGCGCAGCAGGGGCCTGGGGCGGGGGGACGCGCAACCCCAAGAGTGGCGCACTCGGCCCTCTGCACAGCCACCGCCAGCGCCTTTCCAGCCAGGTCCAGGACCTGCATGGGGGCGGCCATTTGCCGGCCCCTCCGGGCCTGCGCCTCACCCTCCAAGGCCTTCATCCACAGCTGCTGCCTCCTCCCGGGCCACAGCTGGGCCCGAAATCCCGACTCCAAACCCCACTCTGTCCGCTTCTCCGTCATGACCCACTTCGGGAACAGTGCAACTGCAATGCACAACCTCCACTCCCTTCTTGTTTTCTGAGACGGGGTCTCACCGAGTAGCCTGACTGGCCTGGAACACACTACGCAGCCCAGGATGGCCTCAAATCTGTGCTCCTCCTGCCTCAGCCTTCCAAGTGCTGGGATCACAGGTGCGCGGCCCTGTGCCCTCTGGGTTCTGCCACTTCCCTGACCTGCTCTACAGCCAGTCCCAGCTGCGGATCTTGAACGCTCTGACGGGACCCCAGCCCTATACCACGCAACTCAGCCACGGAGCCAACCGTGGTCCTTCTCACACGAGTCTCCTTCCAGGACAGAGGGGCAGGGAAGAGCTCTCCCTTGCCAAGCCCGCCAGCCCTCTCCTGTCATAGAAAATTCCTTAAAAGACAGGCGACCAGGCAAGCACACGTGCACTGGGCCGGATTAACCCCCACAGCGTGGGAAAGGACTCAGTCACTTCTGCTGTGGGAAGCCCCTCGGGCCCAGAGCGGGACTCCTCCAAGAGGCCCTCGCTCCCCTGCACACCGGAGCCTCCTTCTGACGGAGGGAGCCCAGCCCTCACCTTCCCGGTTCCCGGCCGTGCATCCCGCACAGTGCAGTCTACTTTGCAGCCTTCGGACTTCAGGACAGTGGCAGTGAGCAGCAGGGTGGGTCCGGCCCCTCCAAGGGGCTGCAGCTGTCTGCAGGGCCTCCCGGCTGGCTCTCTCCTCCCTCCGCTCCTCCACTCCTCCGAGACTCACCTTTCTCTCCGCCCGCCTGCCGTGCCAGGTGGGTTCTCTTGCCCCACCTGGGTCCTGGCTCCTCGGAACACTCCTCATTTCACTTCTGCACGCCTGCTTGGCTCTCCTGCCTCTCACCCCCTTCGCTGGCTCCTCCTCCTCTGCCCAAGCTCTGCATGCTGAGCGCAGTCACCGGCCTCCTCTTCCCACCTGCATCTCACAGCGCCACAGCCTTACCCACCACCTAGACCCCTGAGGGTCCCGCTGACGCCCCTCCCTCGCGTGAATCTGCAGCCCTCCACTCTCCCGCAGCTCGAGTCCCACCCCCATGGCGGACTCCACAGCCCTGCGGGCGATGCTGTCTCTGCTCCCTGCAGCCCTCAGGCCTGCTCCTCTCCTCTCAGCTGCCCAGGACACCCCCACCCCCTTCTCTGGCAGCCCACAGGGGTCTCATCCCCCCACCTTCCAAACACGGCCTGACCCTGGGCCCCCTCCCCTCCCCTCCCCTCCAAGTAGCCTCTGACTGCTCCTGCTTCCTTTCTGGTCCACCTCCTACCACTCACCCTGCACGGAGGTGGCAGAACAACCCTCTGAAAGGGGAACTCCGAACTCACCGCCAGCCTCCGGGAGGCCAAGAGTAAAACCCAAGATGGTGGCCGTGGTCACAGAGCTGCGCGCTGTGGGCCCTGGGCCTTCCTGGGCTCCTCCCACGTCCTCCCGGGCTCTGTACTCTCAGCCCTGGCAGTCGCGCTGCTCCCCGACGACCAGGCCCCGGGCCCCAGAGTTTGCACGGCCCATGCAGCGTACGGTGACTCAGACCACGGCCCTACTCACTCACAGGAACAAGGGCTCCTCCCACTGCACAGACAAGGGTCTGTGCCATCTCCCCGCGCCCGGCACCTGGCTGGCACTCAGGAAATGCCTGCTGACTGCAGAAAGAATGGCAGCGGAGGGAGACCCACACCGGCTGCCCAGGCGCGGTGCTCTCCGCTCGGACCTGGCCAAGAAGTCAGGGTGGAGGCCCCACTGAGAGACAGCCAGGGCCGGCAGTCAGCGGGGAACAGCCAAGCTGAGGGCGGAGGAGCAGGCACTCGGCAGCCAGGCAGGAAGAAAACTCAGGGCCACTGCACAGAGCCAGCTACCCTGGGCACACGCCAGGTTTCCTCGGCCAGGGCCCTTTTCAGTTCCAACAGCACCTCAGAGACCACAGCTGTGCTGAGGACCCTTCTCACCTCGAACATCAAACTGAAAAGGGGCCCTGGAGCCTCACTGTGCATCCTGCGTTCCACAGGAATCGACTCAGCTGGGCAAAGTCGTACATGTCTGTAATCCCAGCACTTGGGAGGCTGAGGCAGGAGAATTACTCTAAGTCTGAGCCCAGTCTGGGCTACATAGTTAATTCAAAACCAGCCGGGAGGGCTGGGGATTCAGCTCAGTGGTTCCGTCGCTTGCCTAGCAAGTGCAAGGACCCGAGTTCGATCCCTGGTACCAAAACAACAAAACAAAAGAAAACAAAAAAAACACCAGCTGGGAAAGTGGCTCAGGCCTGTCGTCCCAGCACTTGGGAAGCAAGGCAGGACTGCCAAGACTTCAAGGTCAGCCTGGGCTACATAGTGAGGTCAAGACCAGCCTGAATTACAGAGTGAAAACCTGTCTCCAAACAAAACAAAAGACTCACAAGGAAGTTAATGCTTGCTTCAGCCCTGCTCTGACTTAATGATCCCTGCACCCAGGACTAAACTGCAACAGAGATGTTGAGGTTTGCAGCCCCTTGGAACAGCGCCTGGCTCGGTAGGGGCCATGTGAATGCTGCCGTTTACCCTCAGCCCATCACTGCTCCCCTCTGTCGGGCGCAGTCAGCCCTCTAACACTACTCCCTCACTGCACACCCACTTTCTGGGCTGGGCCTCGTGGTCAGTCACACACAGCAGAGCAGAGGGGACGGGACTCCTCTCCTGCACCCCATCGCTGCCTCCTCACTGAGCCCGCCGCGCCCTTACCCACACAGCCAATGGTCACCACCCCGTCCTTGTAGCGCTCCCGGGCTGGGCCACTCGGCTCTAGGGTGGAGTCCGTCTGCTGCTCCACCAGGACAGCCGGTCCGTCCTCCTCGTCCTCCTCCTCCCCAGAGCCACTGCCCCGGGTGGCCCCGGCCACATCCCGGGCGATCTTCTCCCGCCAGCTGCTCAGGTCCACTGCTCAGAGAGAAGAGCAAGGAGGCCCCCGCCACTGCAGATGACTTCGGTCACCACCTGCCCCACCCTGGACTGCCTGAGCCTCTGCCAGGCGCTGGGAAGACAGGCAGTGAGCGGCCGGGGCACGGCTCTGCCCCAGCGTCATCTGCTCCTGACTCTGCCCCAGGCCCAGGGAGCTGACTGCAGAGCTGAGCAAAGCGACTCCAGGGCTGCCCACTGCCCACGCTCCGGGAACCCCAGCCACTCACCTTTCCCCGCAGTGATGGCCTCACAGGCTCGCAGCAGCTGCTCCGGCCCCAGGGCCCGAGTCCATCCTGTGCCCCGCCGCCGCCGACTCCTCTTCAAGACTGGGATCAGAGGGCACAGAGTGTCAGCGCCCGGCACAGCTCCACCTCTCCCCACCAGGACCCCATAGGGGCCCTGCTCCCCGCTCCCTGCCCACCTGGCCCTCCTCATCAACACTCACCACTCCCAGCGTCACGTGAAGCACAGGGGTCCCGAGGAAAAGAGGTGAACAGGACAATGTGGAGCTGGGGAAAGTGCTGGTGGAAATAATGCTTCCAGGCGACGGTGAGGGCAGGTGGGGCCAGGTCCACCTTGTTCAGGACCAGCACCAGGGCCAGCCCGAGCTCCCCAGTCACGTACTCATAAAGCGCTGGTGGGAAATTCACGACCTGCCACAGGGTTGGGAAGGCGTGGAACAAGGAGACGTCAGCAGAGCACTCTGCCTCCAACTCCACACTCACGGGCACAGCTCAGAGACAGCAGTGGGCTCTGGACTGAACACAGTAAAGCAGCCCAACTGAGCAAGAAAGGTAAAGCAAGGGCAAGTAAGACCTGTGCACGTCCCAGAGGGGTTCCCACAGGTCAGAATGAGAAATCAAATGAACCAAGGATGAGGAAACATCGACGCCCAGCAAGAACTGAGTTCAGGAATGAAGTGGGGATTGGATAAATAAAATTACTGTTTGCAGGTGTGCATAACAATACAAGTGCATACACATGCACATGAGCACGTGTGCGCGACTGTGAAGAGCGTGCGTGAACCCACCTGGGTGTGAGTATATGTGTGCATACGTGTGTTCGCAGGCATGTTTGTGTACACTCACTGGGGACCGCCAACCTGAATGTTCCAACTTCCCTTGCTCCACTGCAGGACTCGAAAGGCAGCCCAGCAGCAGCCCGGGCTTCACAGGACCCCAGCACTCTAGTGGGGTCTGCAGCAGCCCAGGGCCATGCCAGAGAAATGAGGTGGGCAGGAAAGGGCGTATCTGGGCTGAGCAGGGCAAGCCCCCAGCTTCCATCCCAGAATCCAGGGAGTGCCACAGGCCTGGGATTGTCTATGGCCCAGGCTGGGAGTGGGACCTGCAGGCTTTCATCAAGGACTGTAAGGAGGAGAGGCAGCTGGCCAGGGGACAGGTCACAGGCAACGATGACAGATGAGTAAAGGACAGTGCCTGATGCAGACAGCAACGTAGAATAAAGAAAGCAGAACAGAAAGAAAGAAGGGCACCTCTCTGCCTTCCCACTCCCGCCCCCTCCTCTCTGCACTCCTCCCTGGTACTCACAGGATGTCGGATGTCAGTGACGAGCAGGACAACGTCGGACATCTCCAGCACACGCCACAGCTGCCTCCATGTCTAGAAAAATAAGATCGGCGGGAGAGACCTGAGCCCCGAGTCACTCTTCAGCCTGACTCAGGCCCATGTGCATGTGGATCACAAGAGCCCACCCCGTCCCCACTCCACTGTCACCTCCAGATTGTGCTCAAAGTGGCTGAGCTTCTCCGAAGTGTAAGCCCCGTGGATTTTCCCAAGATACTCCTGGAAGCTCCGGTCCTCCTGGCTCATCAGCTGCTCTTTGGACATCTCGTAGTTCCAAGGCGGACGGCGAGGAAAGTCCAGGACTGAGGAGTCAGAGAAGGTGACAGTTTCAGCAACCAAGCATGCATCCCAGAGCCCTCCTCCTGGGTCAGCTCTCACCCTTCAGACACCTCTCCCAGGTGCACCTGAGCCGGGCTGATAGACCTCCTGGATGTCCAGCTCCAGCACCTCCGCACTGACAGGCTTCAACACTTGGTCCCGGGCCGCCTTCTTCCTCCTCTCCACCTCCTCCCGGCTGTCCCGTTCAAAATGCAGCCGGTACCTACGGTGACAGGAGGCATGCATCCGGCGGAAGCCTGTGCCATACTGGGGCAGACAACCTCCCAAAGCTTTCTCTGCGAGTCCTTCCAGCCCGCCTCGTCGGCCAAACTCCCTCCAGGCCTTTGGAAGATCAGCCGTGGCCCAGGGGACCACAACGTCTGGGCCGCGCCATTTCCACTCCGAAGCGTCCACCCGCGGCAACCAGCTCTGTCCCACCGCTCCAGGTAGGCGAGGACGGCCTGGCCGTGAGAGCCCTCCGCTTCTCTCACCGATGTGGGTCGTAGCCTCGCGGCCCCAGCCCCTGCGAAGGCTGCTGGTTGAGCCTCCGGATGTGATGGGTCACAGACTCCCCGTCCGAGGTGTCGGTCTGCTCCTCCCGCCGCTCCCGGCTCCCGCTGCGGCTGTTGGAACTGGAGCGCAGCCCATCTTGAAGCCCTGCGGGGAGGGGCCGGTGACGCCAGTGCGGCCGGCTCTCGGGGCCAGCAGACGCCTCCCGGGCAGGCCGGCTCCCCTTCGGGGCCCCCCAAGTTTCCCCGGACTCCGCCCTCCCCAAGTCCCTCCTCAGGACCCTCCCGGATGTGCGTGGGGGGCAGCGACTCCGGTGCCAGGCGACGACGCCCGCCGGAGCTGGAGGGTTCCCGTCCCCTCGCCCGTCCTCTTCCGCCCCGGCAGCGGGAATCCCCTCGGCGGCGGCCCCCCCCGCATGGGCACGGGCCCCCGCCGCAGCCCCGACGCGGCGGGCACACCCTCGGTGCGCGGAGCCCGGCCCGCCCCTCCTCCGCCCGCTCCACCCGCTCCGCTCCCGCGCTGACCCCGCTTCCGCTCCCGCTTGTCCTGCAGCTGCTTCTTCTTCTGCTTCACGCTGAAGGGCTTCTTCCTCGGCATGGCCCGGACCAGTCGCCTGGCCCGCCCTGCGCCGAGCTTCCGCCGCCCAACCGACTCCGCTGGCGGCGCCCGCCGCCGGCCCCGGACCCTGGAGGAGGCGGGGCCGCGTGACGTCAGGCGGGCGCGCGGCCGGTGCGGGGCGGCGGGGGGCGCGCGTGGGAGGCTCGGGCCGCTCCGTCACTGGCGCTACCAAGCGGCGGCCGCCGGCGGGGGACGCGCGGCCTCACCCGAGCGCGCCGAGAGGCCTGGGCGCACCTGAGGCGCGGCCCGCCCACCGGGGCCGGGGCCGTGGACTCGCGGGACCCGCGGCGCGGGCGGAGGCCTCCGGGGCGCCGACCCGCTGGGACCCGGGTTCCTGGCGGGGACGACGACGAGAAGCGGGCGGACGGAGCGCTGTGCGAGCGCAGGCGAGAGAAGAAACGCGAGTGGGACGAGGGCTCCTGGAGCGAGGTCAAAGGGCACGAAGTTGTGCCTGCAGCCGTTACCATAGCAACCGGGGACCGGAGGTGGCGATCTTGGGACGCGACGGCTCGTCACAGGTCCGAAAGCCTATCGCTCTGGCACACTGCGGAGCTGGCCGTGGTGCTTTCCCGCGTGGAGAGGGAATTGTTTTTAACGACGTATGGAGACTCAGCCAAGGGCAGGGGCAAGGTCGCCACCATGCCGGCCAGACACGGACGGAGGCCGTTTGCGCCGGACCCGGCCGCCGCCGCGACTCCGCAGCCCCGGAAGTGGGGTGGCGGGAGCCTCGGCCTCACGGCCCACCGCCCCCGGAAGCGGAACCAGCGTCCCCTTCCTCACTGCCCTCCAGATCCCGCCGCAGCCATTGCTGCAGCCACGATGCCGAAACGAAAGAAGCAGAGTCAGCAGCAGCCGCCGCCGCCACAGCAGCCCCCCGTGCCCGATCGGGAAAAGACTGGAGACGAGGAAGACGAGAGTCCCATCGGTGAGGGCCCGGGAGGGGTGTGCGCACGCTCGGCGGCCGGCCCGGCCAGGGGCTGGGGGCGGACCAGGTGCGGGGGAGGGGCCGGCGGAAGGAGGAAGGGCCCCGGGGCGGGCACGGGAGGCCTGCTCGGGATGGACTCTCGAATGAGTTCTCTTACTTGCACCCTCAACCTCGGTCCGGCCCCAAACCTTTCTAGACGAGGAGAAGAGAAAGAGCTCGTATGCGCAGCCGCAGAATGGCAGGGAAGGGGGCAGTAGAGCTATTACAGATTTCGATGGTTGAGATGACAATTGGTGACCACTCTGTCACTGGGAAGGTGGAAGTGCAGACTTCTCTAAACTACTCCCCCAAGGAGAGGAGAGGAGAGGAGGAAAGAAGTGTCTGATTGGCCAGCAGTTAAGGTGAGAGATTGGATTGTTTCTGGCATCACCTGGGGTGTTACGGGTAGTGGCATTGTAAGGGAAAGCTGTCGGTGCCCTTCTTGCTGTCAGTACCTTTCCTGCGTTACCATGTCTCTACTTTTCGCTAAGCTTCAAACAGCTTTGCAGAGGAAAGGGCAGGTAGATGGGTTGAGAACTTGTAATACTGCTGAGACTACAACTGGCTTTCTTTACTAGTTGGATTATATATAAGTAACAGAATAAAGACAACTAAGAATGGGATCGTCAGTGCTTTAGTCCATTCTTAACACCATGTTTTCGTGTCTGTTCTTAGGACCACCCAGCCTCCTGGGCCCTCCCCCCATGGCCAATGGAAAGCCTGGTAACCCCAAGTCAGGTGAGAAGGAAAGGGGCCCAGATCCTTATTTTAGGTCCTGGAGGAGGAAGCAAAGGAGCGAGTAAAGTCCATCAATGATTTAAAAGATGGGGGATTCTCTATCTAAATGGATGAAGAGAAGTTGTACAGTCATGGGTTTGAAAACTCTATATTGTAAAACCATTGCTTCTTCCCAAACTGAACTGTTGAGCTAGTGCATTCCTAGTCAGAATCCTTGTGATGTTTTTGTGGAAGAAAACATTCTACATTTTTATGAAAAGGACCTACATGAGAGACTGCCAAGACATTGTTAAAGTAGGAAGGCATACATGAATATAAAGACTCGTAGTAAAGCTACACTGATTATGACAGTCTGGATTTTCACACAGTAATAAACTCATACATCATCAGTTCAGTAGCTCAAAGTGTCCAGTAAGAAGCCCACAGATGCACAGACACTTCGTTTATGTGAAAATAGAACTGAAGAAGTAGTCTTTCCACTAAGTTGCTGGATTAATTAGACATTCATGAAATTTGACCTCTTATTCACACCAGATGGAAATGTCACTTTAACTGGTCTATAGATCCAAGTGTAAAAGAACTATTTTTCTAGGAAGTAAATGTATTTTCATGGTGTTAGTACTCTAAAAGTTCCTGAAGAAATATACATATGCTATAAAGAGAAGAGTGATTAACGTACTGTATCAGATGTTACCAATTTCTGTCAAACAGATGACACCATTAAAAAATTAACAGGAAGCCAGGGATTACACACACTTGTAATCCCAGCACTCTGGACACTGAAGCAGGAGGATTATAAGTTTCACTCAAGTCTGGAGAACTTAGGAATCACTAAGTTAGTGAGACCTTGTCTCAGAATAAAAAATAGACAGGGGCCGGGGATTTAACTCAGTGGCACTGTGCGTGCCTGCCTCGAAGGCCAAGGTCATGAGATCAAGTCCTGGTGCCAAAAAGAAAATAGATGGTCTGAGGATGTAACTTGGTGTAAGACCCTGGGTTCAATCTCCCGTTCTGAGGGAGAAAAAGTAAGAAATATAACCAAGACCCATATCTAAAATATGTAAACAAGTCCTCCAGACAACCCATTAGAACAATTGGCAAAAGACTAGAACAACTTACAAAAGAAGTATCTAAATGGGCTGAAAACACTTCAACAAGTACTCAACATTAATTATCAAATAAGTGCAAGATAAAAACATTACTTTAAAATTGGAACTCCTGTGCCCTGTTGATGGGATTATTACATGAGATAATCACTATGGTAAATAGTCCAGAGTTTCCTCAAAAAATTAAGAGCCAAGTGTGGCAGTGCACACCTATAATCCCAGCACTTAGGAGGCTGAGGCAGGAGTACTGAGGTGAGTTTGAGGCTAGCCTGCACTACAAAGCAAGACCCTATCTCAAAAAACCAAAAATTAAAATTAAAACTAGAACCACCATTTGACCCAGCTGTCTGACTTACAGGTATATATTCAGAAGAATTGAAAGCATGGTCTTGAAGACATTTTTTTTGTAGGGTACTGAGGGTAGAACCCAGGGCCTTCACACTGAGCTATATCCTCAGGCCTTTGTATTTTTTTTTATTTTGAGACCAGGTCTTAAAGTCGCCTAGGCTGGGCTCAAACTTGGACCCCTCCAGCCTCAGCCTTTCAGAGTGCTGGAAGTACAGGTGTGTGCCAGCCACCGTGCCCAGCTTGAAGAGAGATTTGTATGCTCATGTTCTTAGGCGCACTGTCCTCAATACCCCAAAAGTAGGAGCAACCCAGATATCCATTGACAGGATAAATAAACGAAATATGCACATTCAGTGAAATCTTGTCCAGCCTAACAAAGGAAGGAAGTGCTGTCACATACTCAAACAGGGATGGACCTTGAGGACGGTATACGAAGTGAAACAAACTGGTCCATAAAAGACAAATGCCGTAAAGTGCCTAGAGTGAAACTCAGAAGGCTGGGTGGAAGGGTGTGGAGGAAAGGAGTCGTGCAGTGGATAGAGTTTCAGTTTTGTAACTTCTAAGGATCTGTTTCACAACATATCAATATACTTAAAACTCCTGAACTGTAAACTTAAGAAGAGTTAGGATTGGCCAGTGACAGTGGTGTACACCTATGAGCCCAGCGCCAGAGGCTGAGGCAGGAGGACTGCCACAAGTTCAGTGCCAACCCAAACTGCATAGTGAGGCCTTGTCCTGAAAAGGTCAAGATGGTAAATTTTTATGTTCTATTATTTTTATTACAATAAAAAACTTACCACTTCTTACACAAGAGAATGGCAGAATGAAAAAGACTGACAGCCACTCTGGTTTTTTGAGACAGGGTTTCACTATGTAGTTCAGGCTGGCCTTGAACTCTTGGTGGTTCTCCTGCCTCAGCCTCCCAAGTGCTGGGATTATAGGTATGCACCACCACACCTGAGTTTGACAACCACTTTGAAACAAAGTTTGATGTTACCTATTAAACTTGAATGAACATACACACACTCTGACCCAGCAATTCCTTTACTTCGTATATACTGAAATATATGCACATGTATAACATAGAAATTGAAACATTCATAGCATTTCCTGTGGCCCTAAACTGGAAGCTGTCCATGTGCCGTGGGATGATGTTGAGTGAAAGGAGCCAGACACAAAGAAACGGACTGATTCCATTTACACAAAGTTCAAAACAGGCAAAGACGAACCTGTGATGTTAGTCAGGATGTTGGTTACCTTTGGAGCAGGGAGTTGAGGGGCATGGGAGTGAGTCTTAAATTGTTACAAAGGCTCTAGCTCTTCACCTGGCTGTGTTTGTTTTGTAATAATTGATCTGTACACTTAAAATAGGCACTGTACATCTTTATGTGCTGCACTGTAATTAAAAAGGAGGAGAGCCCGGTGTAGTGCACATCTGTGAGCCCAGCAGTCTTAAGAGATTGAGACAGGAGGATCTCAGGTTCAAGCCCAGCCTGGGGAGCTTAGCAAGACCCTGTCTCAAAAAATAATAAGGGAAGGACCGGAGATTTAGCTCAGTGGTTTCGCTGCCTGCTGTGCAAGCGCAAGGACCTGAGTTCAATCCCCGGTACCAAAGAAAATAATAATAATAATAATAGTAAGGGAGGGAATGCAGCCAGTGCAGAGGCTGAGATCAAGGCTTGTGTGTGGGGATGGAGCTGCCTGTCTTCACCTTTCTCTGTCTCTCCAGCCCTCCACAGAGGCCCTCCAGGATCCAGGGGACCAACGATCCCACCACTGCTGAGCCTTCCCCCCCCTCCCAGGGGAAGAGGCCCATTTCGGGGAGGTCTCGGCCCCAGGACTAGTCCTTATGGTCGTGGTTGGTGGGGGGTCAGTGCAGAACCTCCCTTCCCAGGGCCAGGCCACAGGGGTCCCTTCTGGGAAAGCTTTCACAAAGAGCAGAGAAACCCGAGAAGGCTCAAAAGCTGGTCTCTTGTCAAGAACACCTGCCCGCCTAAGGACGGCCCCCAGGCCATGGAAGGTGAGGTCCACTTTGTTTGCTGTGTAGCCTTCCTGCCGCCTGCCTCCCCACCCCAAGCTGGGGATCAATCCTGGCCCTTGGCATACCGCTTAGGCTACACCCTGCAACCCCTGGGCTGTCTTGAGGGCCCCGGTTCCATCCTTAGCACCACTGCCCCTCCCCACAAAATGAAACTGGAAATGGTAGGGGCTAGCGAACCTGCTTTGTCTTTGCTCTTCATTACCATTGTCGTCTTAATCAGACTTTAAACTGCCCAGTTTTCACTCATCTACAGACAAATCCAGCCGCCCTGTCTGTCGACACTTTTCCAAAAAGGGCCACTGCCGATACGAGGACCTCTGTGCCTTCTACCATCCGGGCGCTGACGGACCTCCTGTGTGAGACTGTGTCTTCCCCTCCGGCCCATGGCTCTGTGACGCCAGCTGTGAGGCTGTCCCGCCCCACGCCCCGGTGTGGGGTCCAGAGTTGCGCTTGGTCACTGGTGCGTGGTGGGTGCTGTCTTCTGACCCCGCCTCCAGGGCTCGCCTTGGGGACCCCCACACGCCCCCTCGACTGCCTCCCAGATCCCCCTCCGCCAAGTGACTGCTGAACAGGAAGCCCTGGTGCTGTTTCTTGTGCATCTGTCCACTGTCGCCCTCCATTCCCAAGAGCTGCTTGTCCAGCGTCCTCTGCCTGTGACACCAGGGTTTCAGCTGCTCGGGAAGTGCCGGGGCGTCTGGCCCGCCTCTGGCTGGTGGCTGGTACCGGGCTGCTCCCCGCCTCTGGACTCTAGTTCTCTGGGTAGCATGATCCCCACCGCTCGGGTCTGTGCTCACTGTGCTTCATGAAGCTGTGCGTCCCCTCGTAGCCTCTCAGTGTTCATGACTTCCCAACACTAGACTTAAGTTTTTCTGCCAAAATGCGGGAGGCTCCTGGTGCCCTCGACGGCCCCACCTCCCGACTCGGGAGGACTGTGAAGCTCGCGGGCCACCTCCCTGTCCCCCCTCTTCCTTATGTTGGTTACACCTGGCCTGACACTGGCCAGTGATGTCTTGTAGGCCTCGGCCTGGCCTCTCTGCCCGCCCCTCTCCAGCCTGCTTTCGCAAGGCTGTCGTCGTGAGGACAGCAGCTATGCACCTGAATTCTGTGAATCTCGCCCGGCCTGTCTCTGGGTGGACACTGGCCAGCGCTCTCACCCTTGACCCTCTTTCCTCACACCCCTGGCACAGTTGTTTTCTGTGAAAACGGCCGGGAATGGGTTTGGTTCTAAGCTAGCCCTGAGGAGATGGGTCGGGAGTCTTGTGGACCAGAGGGAGGGATGGGAGCTGCTGGAGAACTGAGAATGAGTTTTTTTTTCTTTTTAACATTTTTTTATATTAGTAATAAACACAGTGGAAACTAGCATTTTCTTTACTCTGCGTTCCAGTCATCCCTGGAGGCCCAGATGAGGCTACGCTCGGCAGACGGCTCACTCCTCGTTTAGTTCAGATGGTGGTCATGGGACATGGCGACACCTGAGTCTCTGCCAGCCTGTGGACCAGCGCTCCCCTCAGCCAGCAGGCCAGGTTTCCTGGTGTTCAGGCCCGAGGTGTTACAGAAAGGGAAAGCCTGGCCCCTGTGCAGTAGTTTTAAGTGTTTTACCTCTGTTTATCCCTTTGGTGTTTATTGCACTAGTTCCAATGAAGCAGTCTTTCAACAAAAATATGTACAGTTCCAACAGGCCAGGCCCTGTAGCAGACACTCAGGGTAACAGCCAGAATCGGCGAGTCAGTTCAGGACATCAAGATAGCTGTGGTAGGCTTCCAGACCACTTCCGAAATGGCAGGAATGACGGGCTGTGTGTTCGAAGTTAGGCAGAGTATTTTGAGGGAGATGAATGGCAATGTCTCTTTTAGGGTAGTAAGTTTTTTAAAACATTAACCTTGTATTTTGCTCACACCTTATACAGAAGGTAGGTAGGCATACACTCTTCTCTGTGTACATGGTTTTTTCTGTTTCTGAGACAGTCTCACTATGTGGTTCAGGCTGGCCTTAAATTCACAGCAATCTGCCTCAGCCTCCCAAATGCTGAAATTAGAGTCCTGTGCCACCGCGCCCAGTTTAAATATACGGTTTTTTTCTTTTTTGGTACCGGGGATCGAACTCGGGACCTTGTACTTGTGAGCCAGGTGGTGGAACCACTGAGCTAAATCCCTGGCCCCTAAATATACAAGTTTTGATACTAAGATTAAAACTAGGAACAAGTCTGAGTTATTTGGATATGGGCAGTGGTTGAAGGCATGTCTGTGGATATAATTCTTTTTTTTTTTTTTTTGGTATCAGGGATCGAACTCGGGACCTTGCACATGCGAGGCAGGCAGTGGAACCACTGAGCTAAATCCCCGACCCAAGGTTTTAAACTAGAAGTTTATTTCTCACAGATCAAGACAGTCTGAGCTGGGGTGTGTGCCTGTCCTCTGGGAGGCTGAGGCAGGAGCATCTTAGGTTGCAGCCCAGCCTTGGGAACTCAGTGACTTAATGAGAACCTGTCTCAGAAATTTTTAAAGCTCTGGGGGTGTGGCTCAGTATGAAGGCCCTGGGTTCGATCCTTAACACCACGAAAGAAAGTCCAGGACGAGTGAGGACTGTGGCACCCCAGGGCCACCCACTCAGGATCCAAAGCCCAGCTTCAGCTCTGTAGTCGACAGCCACACGCTTTTCCCAGTCCACATAAAGCTCCAGCTTTCTCAGCTCTTCAGACTCAAAGGACAAGACCAATTGTCTTCGAAGGACTTTCCTTGGAGTTAGCATGCAGCTCTAGTCCGTACTCCGCCTGCTCTTAATTGCCCTGTGGCCAGTACTTCTCTCTTGCAAAAGTGTTTTGTTCATCAACCAAATGCTGAGCACACAGTCAGGCTGTCAGCTGGTAAAGTGTTAGGCTACGGGCACAGCCTCTGCCTGCCACTCACTAACTGCTAACATCAGGGACAGTGTGATTCCCAAGACTGCCAGGCACACACCTTGGGTCCAGATGGCACTTACTAGCTCCGCACAGGTATTTCATTAAAGTTAGGAACTACAAGATGAGGGCTTATGTTAGGGTAATTCAAAGATTAGAAAATTGTTCTGAGTTGGATGCTGTCAAGAGCTAGGGGCAACGAACGTAGTGGTGCACACTTGTACCCCACACTGAGAGGCTGAGGCAGGAGGGTCACAAATTCAAGACCAGCCTGGGCACACCAGCAACTTAGCAAAACCCTAACTCAAAAGAAATTTTAATTTAAAAGATCTGGTGGGGGGCCAGGGATTTAGCTCTGGCTCTGCCACCTGCCTCCAAAGTGCAAGGTCCCAAATTTGATTCTCCATACCACAAAAAAAGATTTGGGGATGTAGCTCAGTTGGAAGGCCCCGAGTTCAGTCAGTTCCAAAAGAAAAAAATCATGAAACAATGGATTTAAACATTCTTGAGATACTCTGCAGTCCACGGCAAAGGCTGAATTTGCCCCTCCAGCCCCTTAAAAAGCACTAATCCCCCTCATGAAGATGGACCCTTGTGATACGATCCCTGCCCAAAGGCCCTACCTCCTGGAACTATTGCCCCAGGAAATTAATCTCAGTGAGGACTTTAGAGGGAAGCAACTATTTGTGATCACATTAGGTTTGTTTTGATTTTGTATTTTGAGTCAGGGCCCATTGTGTAGCCCATAAACTCGCTCTGTAGCTCAGGCTGGCCTGACTCACAGCCATCCCCTGCCTCAGCCTCCCGAGAGCTGGAACCACATGTACCATCACAACCAGTGAAAGCACAGTAGATATCTGCACTGCTGCATTCCCCAGTACCACAAAAAAGAAGAGTAGACCAGGGATTTAGCTCAGTGGTTCCACTGCCTGCCTTGCAAGCGGAAGGATCCAAGTTCAATCCCCGGTACCAAAAAAAAAAAAAGGAGGCAGGGACACTATGAACAATTAACAAAATAGGAACAACTGTGAACAAAATCAGACAGGAAATAGAGGACACTGGGCTGAGGATGTAGCTCAGCAGGGCAGCGCCTGACTGGCAAGCTCAAGGCCCTGAGTTTGATTCCTGGTATTAAAAAAGAACAAAAAAGACCACAAAGAAATAGAGAATATTACAATTGACCTTACAGAAATGAAGAGAAGTCTAAGAGAATGCTACACTTGTGTGCTGAGAAGCCAGGTAACTTGCTTGAAACGAACAAGTAGCTTTGAAGACAGGAACCCTGAGACCAAGAACAGCCCTGCTGTGGTCGGAACATGTCAAGTGTGTCCCCGGGGCTTGTGTGTTGCACACCTGGTGCTCGAGAGGTGGTGTTAAGGGAGGGTGGGGGCTGCCTCTAGGGGCATCACCCCCAAAGAGACAGAGGAGATTTGCAAGAGACCCGAGTAGGCTCTGTGATTGGCCTGTGTTCACAACAAGCCAGCAGGACGATGTGATCCCCAGGAGAGGGTGACAGCTTCCAGTCCCGGTTAGCTGACGGGAAGGGCGGGTCCTTACTTCCCAGAATCCACATAGGAACCTTGTAAACCGAGGGCGGTGATGGCCAGGGGACTGAAGCACCCAAGCACTCTGATCCCAAGGCATCACATGTGCATGTTTCAATTTACTTTGGTGGGAAATTTGTAAAAACAATTAGTTGGGAACAGGTAACACAGGTGGGGTCTTCTCTACCCCACTCCTGTGCTCACCTCCAGGCTTCCAGCCGCCCTGGTACAATTCCTGCCACCACTGTCCACCCAAGCACTGGAACCGGCCTGGCCGTCCAGGGCCTCCCCTACCTGGGACTGATTCTCAGTCCTACTCCTGCTGCCTAATTGACATTTTAAATGAATCACAGGCATGTTTCCACTGGTGCTGGGAAAGCACCCAATTCAGAACACAGAAAACAGTATTTTGCCAGGCTTTTCAAAACCTTCCATCTGCAGTGTTTGTGTCTGACATGGGCAGCATGTTCACCTTCATGATGTTTGCTTTCTCCCCTTGGCACACATGCCCCCGGCTTCCACGCTGCAGGTCACCCTTGAACTATTCCCTGGTGTTTTCAGTGCAAAGCCTGAGAGACAGGTCCAGGGTCCTAACCCACTGCAGGCCTGGTCCCTCAGGCCCTGGGCTGCTGGGGACCCAGGTTTTCTGCGAGCCTGGGACTCTGTCTCTGTGGGACTGCGGCTCCGGCAGAGCCCTAGCGGCCAGGGCACTAACCCCTGAGCATGACAAG